ATTAAGAAGTTTATTGTAAGATTTTGGTGTACATGATTGTGGGGGTTAGCCAGGCAAGTCTGAAGTCTGTAGAGCAAACTGTGAGGATTGTATAAAATTGAATCAATCATTTTTTCCTCATTTAATTTGCCCTCCTAATCATTTTTCCTTTAAATTATGCTTTTAGACTTCCAAGCTGAAGCCCTGAAACTGTTCTTGATTCTTTTTTTTTGGACTTTACTTTAATCCCCCCCTATAATGTCTTAAGTTTCTCAACTTATACCTGTCATGGTAGTTTTTAGAAACTGGTTATTAAAAATTCAAAATTAAAGTGTGTCTTTTCTTTAGACAGAGATGACAATTCTACACTAACAAAGCAGGAACTTAAATTTATAGGTATGTACCAAATTCAAGTATGGCTTTAAGGGTAATAGTGTTAAATTAATCCTAATGTAGCTTGGAAACCTCCCCATATAAAGCAATAGTAGGGATCTCTAGTCCCAAAAATGATAACTGAGAGGAATTCTCCATGATTCTGGATGGTTGGTAGGATGAACTGTTACCCTGTTCTTATTATTGTACTTGTTTGGATTTGTCATGTTGCCTAAGATATGGTAGGGTGGGTTTTAGGATTTCTAAAATTATTTACCTGTCAGAGTCTAGATGCCTAGGTCTTTGATTTTTAAGACCACTTTTTACATCTGTGACCCTTCTCTCTCACTGAGGGAAAGAAGAATCTGAGACCATATTCTATGATTTATAATTTCTAATTCTGTATTTTTCAAATACTTCTGGATCAGTTGAGAGTGTGTGTATTCTGTATCCACTCTTAACCAGTTAATGTATGCATCTACTGCACCCCTTTCCCTCTCCTAAAAACCTCAGTTTCACATATTAATAAAACTAGTCTTGCAAGCTAGGAGTACCTGCACTATGGAACTTTTCCTTCTCAACAGTTTCTTAGCCTTTTTTTTCATTTGAAAAGTGTAAAGATCTTTCTGTATCTAAAATCATGGTCATTTACTTTGGGGAAATAATTGACTGCAAATGGATCCTTTCAGGAACATAAAATCTAACAGGAGGATAAATATGTATATAAATAATTTCAAGACATATAGTTATAACTTCTTTAATCTACAGTATAAAAAGAGTTCAAGGTCAGGGAAACTTACTTTTAGCTGAGGGAATGAGCTGTCCAGATAATGTAACATTTTACCTGATGCTTAAAGAAGGGTTAATGTGGAGCTATTTGGAGATAGGGGTCAGGGCTAGACTCGCAGTCCCTGGAATACAAATAGCACAAGCAGTGACACATAGGTGTGTAAAGTGATGGTGATACTGATATTTGACATGAAATATATGAAAAATAATAGCCTTACCTACTAGCCAAAGGAGTTGAAAATAGTTGATAGTTGGGAAATACTTGGAGTTGGGGAAAAAAAATAAAACTTGTTGTTAAGGAAGATTCATCTGGCTGTAGCTTTTAAGAATATTGAAAGGAGCTATAGAACAGAGAAACCAATTAGGTTTTTGTTATAATCTAGCTGAATGTATTGAGGGTTGGAGTGAGGGTAATGGAAATCAGACTAGTAGGACATATATTACCCAAGAAGAACTGGTAGTAATTATCAATAAATTGAATGGCAGTAGCTGGGGAGGGTGGGTATTCATTTGCCAACAAGCTGTTTAGGTAGAGATGTTTAGTGTGCAAATGAATAGGTGAGGTTAGAGTTTGGGCATGAAGGAGACTTTGAAGTAAATCCATATGGGGGTAAAATAAACTGTGAGGTTGGTCATGGCTAAGCAAGGTTGGAAGAGAAAACAGAGGTTGGATCAGGTTTATTTTAAGATAGAAAGTCTTAATAGGTGGAAAGGAGGACTCTGGAAAAATAGGTTAAGATGCAAGAGATGAGTATTTGATGAACCAAGGAAACTGGACAGATGAGGTGAACAAGTAGAAAAGTTTAACTTGAAGACAGAGGGAATAGCTGTGGAAACATTCAGCATAAAAGAAAAAAGTCTGTTTAACCTCTGTAATTTGGGGTTAATGAATGTTTAAGTTAGTAGAAACTTTAGAAGTAGGTTTTCCCGCCAAAAGAAATGATTACTTTCAGGTGTACATTAATAACTTGAGTGTGCTGGGGCGCCTGGGTGGTTCAATTGTTAAGCGTCTGCCTTTGGCTCAGGTCATGATCCCAGCGTCCTGGGATCGAGCCCCGCATCAGGTTCCCTGCTCGGCAGGAAACCTGCTTCTCCCTCTTCCACTTACCCTGCTTGTGTTCTCTCTCTCACTGTCTCTCTCTCTCAAATAAATAAATAAAATCTTAAAAAAAAAATAACTTGAGTGTGTTTACAAAAGGGTTGTCCTGTGAGTGTACTTGAGAAAAACATTTTATTGATTACATAATAGTGATAAATAATGATGCCTATATATGTAAAAACTATGCTTCTGAAGTAGTTACTCTCTTTTGTAATGCTCAGTGTTTCCTGAGAAGTTATCTCCTTTCTCCTTGTATTCTTTATCAAGACTGTGACTGTCTTTCATTCTGTTCTCTGCCTACTCCTAACTGAATCAGTCACCAAGTGGTACCTTCTAAATATTTTTTCTAATTAATTTGAAGGTTCCTAGACATGAATTTTTATATCTAGTTTATTATTTTCAAAATCCCACCTCACAGCTGTGGGTTGGCTCGGATCCTTACTGTCTTCTCTCACAGATTGTTGTATTAGTCTCCTTTTGGTTTTGTCAGTATACCTGGAGTTAATCAGGTGGACTGACTCAAGCTAGTATGGGAGAAGTGAAGAATGTCACTTAATCATTTGTGATTAAAACATTATTGTAAAGAATGCCAAATGTTGCTTATCTTATTCTTTCTTAAAGTAATCTTGGGAAAACAAGTTATAATTGGGAAGTTACTTGGTGAACCTGACATCAGAATATGGACAATTAGTTAGATCATGTTTAAAAATTATTACCATCTTGATAATGTTCTTTTTCTCTGTATAATGCAATTGATTGCTTTCTTAAGCAGCTTCCTTTCACATTAATTTCTAGTCATGTGTTTGCAGAAGCTATGTCCCAGTTACCTTGATGATTAAACCTACAGTTAGAGACCATGACTTACATGGTGAGCTAGTTCTATAGATGGCCAATATTACTTGTTTGACACTCAGAGGGTCATTTTATTTAAGGATCTCTGGATATGTATTGTGTCTATTCCTGACAGAACAGTATTTTTATATAATAACAGCTAGGTATTTACCGTTATGCTTCTCAGACTCTTTGTCATTCATTATGCTTGTAATATTTGGAGCAACTAATATTTTCATTCAAAAGGTATATGAAGAACTTATATTCAAAGTTGTTTCTGGGTGTGTCAAGATTTAGGAGACCAAAAATATTTTTTTAAAGATTTTATTTATGTGAGAGTGAGCGAGAGAGAAAGAGAACACACAGAGGGAGAGGGAGAAGCAGACTCCCTGCTGAGCAAGGAGCCGGATGCAGGGCACATCCCAGGTCCCTGGGATCATGACCTGAGCCGAAGGCAGACACTTAACTGACTGAGCCACCCAGGTGCCCAAGACCAAAAATATTTAATTCATGTTGGCAGTAATAGAAAATCTGATTTTCTACCCGGATCAGTCCTAAAGAAACTGTGGAGAGAAAGTAAATCAGTATAATGAACATATAAAAGATATGAGGGAAGATAATAATAACTTGAAACAAAGAAAATATTTAAAAGAAATAAGTAGAAATTTTAGATATGGAAAAGTGTAATTGTCAAAGTAAAGAACACAATAGATGGGATAAATAATGGATACAGTGAGGAACAAAATAATAAATGGGTTTTATACATGCTTAAAATAAAAATGATATGGAGGATAGAAGTAGATTCCAGAAAATAGGAACCCCAAAAAGGGAGAGAGAAAAATGGAGAGGAGGAAATAATGTGAAGAAATAAGAAATTTCTTCCCTAAAAAAAGATGAGCGTTCTTAGCTTGAAGTGGTCAGAGAAAAAGAGTGAAGGAAAAATCCTCATCTAGATGCGTTATAGGGGACATTTTAAAATATCAAAGACAGGGAAAGAATTCTAAAACATAGACTAGTAAGATGAAGTCTTTCTTGGAGAGAGATCTGTAAGGACTATATAGAAATAAGTTCAGTTCTAAGGAGGTGTGGTACAACATATTAAAAGACTAGATTTAACAGAGGTAATTTTTATAGCAAAAAAAAATTGGAAGTAGTGGGAATATAAAGATTACAGTTCTATTTTTTTTTAAGATTTTATTTATTTATTTGACAGAGAGAGAGAGACAGCTAGAGAGGGAACACAAGCAGAGGGAGTGGGAGAAGGAGAAGCAGGCTTCCCCTCCTGATGCGGGCCTCAATCCCAGGACCCTGGGATCATGACCTGAGCCAAAGGCAGATGCTCAACAACTGAGCCACCTAGGCGCCCCTACAGTCCTATTTCCTGTAGCATCTCCTGGATTCAATTATCAAATGATATTTAGGTAGCTTACCTACCAACTTGGAAATATATCTGTGATACATTTTCCCTGACACCAAACCCAGAACAACAAATTATATAATGCCTAAAATAATATATACATCGTTCAAAGGATTATCAATTTCTTACATTCTGTTTTCATGGTGCTCAGATTCTATTGGAAGAGTCAGAAATATAAATGAATAATTGCAGAATAAAATGTTAGACAAATTATCATGGTGGTTATGTTAAAATAATAGGTTTGAGAGTAGTTTTTTCCTTCATTTTTTGATTGTGGTCATTACTTACATGTTTTTATTTAAATCATAGAAAACCTTTAATGACGAATGGCAAATTGTTTTAATAGCTGCCACACCTAATAAGATTATATTCTTCATTTTAATTGGCAGTTTTTTCCTACTAAACCTTCCTTTTAATTTCCTTAAGAAACGGGGGAAAAAAATCATTGTGTAATGAACTTGATGATGTTTGTCATGAGGCTTATGATTGATATTTTAGGTAAGTCTCATTTCTTCTCCTTCATTAACCTGACCACCTATATTTCTATACTTCATCTGAGCTAAGTGTTTCTAGAGAAAAAAATTCACACCATGTACACATTCGTGTCATTATAGATTTGTGATACTAGCCTTGACTGACATTTTAATTGCTTGGCAATGTTAATATACATCTCTAAGTTCTCTTACTTTTCGCTGTGAGTGTTTATTTTTTTAAACTTTTACTGCCTGTGAAAATTTCATCTTTTCATCACCCAATTCTGCAAACCTGCTTGGTTTGTATCCGTCCTCTTTTCTTTCTCTCCAGTCCTGCTTGCAATCCAGGGCTAGTCTTGTGGATCTCACCATTCTGTGCCCTCTCAGAGACCTTGTCATTTTAGTTGCCTTATCC